AATAAGAATTTCAATGAAAAGAAAAAGCATCTAAAATTGACACTCGATTAGCACTGACCCAACACGGAGAAGCCTGACAGAAGAGAATGCAAACAGGGACAGCAGATCAGGAATGAGAAGTGAGGGACTATCTCTGAAACAGCTGCCTAACATCTAAAGCATCTTCGTTTATAAAGTTCAAAAAGCAAGTGCTTTTAAGGCAGAAGAAACACTAATAAAACTGCTTTTCTGGTTGTTTTTCAAAACCTGCTTCATAAATCTGAAGGGAAAAAAACGCTGGCATGAGCTAGTATCTTACTACTAACAAAGTTTATATTTCCTCTTGAAAAGACAGCAAGTCGGCCAGGATGATGAAGAAAATGCTCAGTCTGATGCACATATTTATTCTATAATGTATTATTCACATCCATCAGTATGATAAGAAATAGCTTTCCTCCCAATGCAATGCCAAAGGCTGGCCTGAGGGACGGCTCAACCGCAAGCTCCTGCCTCCTCAGCGCTGAAAAAACAATGCTCCCCCCAAAACAAGGGGAAGCCTGAGACTAGAGGCATACAATTTACATGAAAAGCAGAGAAAACATCTACCATCTGAATTTTTAGCGAGACAGAGAGAAGACAGCAATTATGACAACAGGCAGACGTGGCCTGTGCATTTTGAGCACACAGTCTTAACCATCACCTCTTTGCAAAATCCACCAGAGGCACTGAAGTCTGGACCCAAAGCACAGATAGGAGACACACTGTGCAAGGACTCTGAAACACCTGTAAAAACTGACCTCAAACTAGGCCACAAAGAAAGGCTTAATTCCAAATAATCGATACCATACAGACCATATTCCTTAAACATGAAATTTAATTATAAATTGTCCATAAAAAGACTTTCTAAAAACCCTTATGTTTCAAACTAAAGAACAGGCTCCTAAATAGCCCACATGACAAAAAGAAATAAAGTATTTCAAATTAAAATTCAAGGAACTTTTAATATTAGTATTTAATAAATTTAAATAAAGCATGCTTAAAGAGAAATGTATAGCCTTGGGGCACCAGGGTGGCTCAGTCGGTTGAGCATCCGACTCTTGATTTCAGCTCAGGTCATGATCTCAGGGTCCTGAGATTATGCCCATGTTGGGCTCTGTGCTCAACACAGAATCGGCTAGAAATTCTCTCTCTCCCCCCGCCCATCCCCCCCGCCGCTCACATGCACCCATGTGTGCCCTCTAAAATAAATTTTAAAATTAAAAAAAAAGTATAGCCTTAAACATATTCGTTTAAAATGACAAAGACAAAAAATGAGCGAGCTAAGTATTTTACACAAGAGAATAAAAACGTAAATAACCAAAGAAATTAAAATGAAAAATAAATAGAAATCAATGAAATGAAAACAAAAGTGAGTATCTACAAAACCAGAAGTTGAGTCTTTGCTAGATGATGCCTATTTCAGTAATTTCTTTAAAGTCTCATCAAAGGAAAAAAAAAAGACAAAATTTTTGAAAGAAAAGGGAAACTGTTAACTATAGATATATATGTATATATTTTTTTAAGATTTTTTATTTATTTGACAGAGAGAGAGACAGCGAGAAAGGGAACACAAGCAGGGGGAGTGGGAGAGGGAGAAGCCAGCTTCCTGCTGAGCAGGGAGCCCGATGCGGGGCTGGATCCCACGACCCCGGGATCATGACCTGAGCCAAAGGCAGACGCTTAATGACTGAGCCACCCAGGCGCCCCTGTAGATATATTTTTTTAAAATCGAAAAAGCACCGTTGAAACATCTTGGTGCCATGACTTTGTAAAATGTGAAGGACACAGTTCCCTGGAGAAAGGCTGGGGAGGTCTCGGCCAGGCTCTCCCTCCCACAGCAAAGCTTCCTGCCCCGTGTACAGCCCACACGTGGGGGATGTGCCACTTCCAGAAACCCTTGGCCCCCAGCCAGGTGGCCAGCCTCCTCCACTCACTCATGTGCCTTGCAAATATTATCATTTTCGGAGCGTGCCAGGCAGGGAGAAAACTTGGCAAATTCTAGTCTGTGTGGAAGCCCTGATTGTTAGCTAAGCGAACCGAGGCCTGGAATAACTATTTCACTTCTGGTCCCTTCGTGACAAAGATCTGGCCAGTACCATGGAAGTGGCAGCGGGAGGCACAACTTCCAAGAAGTCGTCTCCAAGGAAAGGGGCGTGCTCTTGTCTACCCCTCCCCTCCCTTCCTGCTGGCTGCACCTGGACAGCCTCCTTGGGCCATGAGGGGCCCTGAGGCACAAGAGTCACACCTGTGGGGTGACAAGGCAGAAGGCATCTGGGCCACAGCCACCTCCAGACTCTGACGCAGGAGCCAAAGCACTTACCACCTCATTTAAGCCACTAATGCCTTAGATCTCTCCTTCACACACAGGTCAACCCAATCTTAACTGATTCTTACCAAAAGAAACTCAAAAAGAAAAAGAAAAACGGAATATATCCACTCAAGAAATTGACTTGGTAAAACTAACAGAAATGACTAGTTCAAAGGAACAGAAAAGCTATAGCAGGTTGTCAACACTAAGAAAAGAGCAAGAGGAGAAACCAGCCGTCAGGACAGAATCATCATTAGCCACGAGGAAATGCAAATTAAAACACCAAAAATTAGGAAGACTGAGCATTCCAAGTGTTGACAAGGACGTGGGGGAACTGGGACTCGCAGATGCTGTGGTAGGAATGTAAATGATGCAACCACTTTGGAAAACACTGGGCTATTTCTTAGAAAGACCAACATACGTTGACTGTGTGAGCCAGCGGTCTCACTCCTCGGTACTGACCCAAAGGAATGAAAATCTCTGTCCGCACGGGACGCACACGTGAATGCTCTCCACAGCTTTACTTGTAAAGGACCTGAACTAGACACAGCCCAAACGCTCCTTACCTGACAAATGGACACACACCCTGTGGTACATCCATACAGTGCACGACCCGGCAAGAAAAAGGAATGAACTGTTACAAAAATAACATATCATCAAAAGAATCATGATGACTGAGAGCAGCCTGAGCAAGCAGGAGCACATACATTCCTGGGAAACACAGACCAGAGGGACCAAAAGCAGAGCAGCAGCTGCCGGGCCCTGGCAGGAGAGGGGGCATGCAGAGCTGTGGCCGGAAGGGGTCCCGCAGGGCACAGGCCACTGTGGGGGACAATGCACACGTCCACCGTGCTGACCGTGGATGGCCCAGACACGTGGAAACAGACTCAGCCCAGCCACTAGGGAAGTAATTTGGCCATAGCTGGTGAAATCGAAGCTCCGCACGCACGCTCTGGCACAATTCTGAGTCTGGGCACGGACTCTAAAGCAGTATCGAAAACTCCAGCCCCAGGCTGGGTCCTGTTGTTGTGAATAAAGCTTCATCGGAACGGAGCCACACACACATGTTCACTGTTGTCTATGCTATGACTGCTCTCAGGCTCTATCAGTAGAGCTGAGAAGCTGCGACAGATTGTATGGCTCCTTAGCCTAAAATATGTCCTGTCTGGCCCCTGTGCGCCGGCCGACATGTGAAGGAGCCCGTGAGAGTTTGTGACAGTGTAAGGTCACTGAAGCTATGCCCACCGGCACAGGAATTAATGAACAGATACTGGAAAACCAGTCATCAGTTAAGATGAATGACCCAGATGCCAGGTCTCCCCACAGGGAGGGTCTCAGAACAGGATGCTGCCCGAAGAAAGCATCTCACCTAACGTATCCGCAACAGGCCAAGACGAAAACCCGCAGAACAGAGGCAGCTGCGTTTAAAGCAGATGACTGACTGCCCGAGGGCCGGCGGGGTTGGGGCCGAGGCAGAACGGACGTCACCTTTTCCTTACATTTTCATTTCTTTTACTTTAAAAACTCTAAGATGTTTTTAGAAGACCAGTCAGTGAAATTCAACTCCAATGTTTCTGAGCATCCGTAAAAGACAGTGCCCCGACTCTGAAACACTAACTGTGCTTTTTTAAGGCAGCACATGTTCCCCAAACAAGGACACTGTTTCCTTTTATCTTCTAAAGTCAGAGTACCACTCTGCAATGTACTCTTCAGTACACAGCCCGAAGCACAGCCCTCGTGCGCTCTGCATGGAAAGCAGGGCTATAAAATTTACACCAACGGAAGCCTCGAAGGTTGCCCACATCAACAGCCTGGAGGGACACACTCAAGGTTTCTGAGTGGGTCCCAAAATACCAGGGACACAGGACAACCCTGTGGCCTACGAAAAGGACTAGGGCATGTTAAAACACCACAGTGAGACAACAGCCTGCAGAAAGGCGGTCCTCCCTCTGCATGAGGCAGCGGGGGCGCCCTCAGGCGAAGGCCTGCACAGCACTCTTCTCCTGGGACTGTTCCCGCGCCCCTGCGATGTCGCTCGCAACTGCCCAGTCCCCTCACTGGCTGTTTCAGGCCACGTCTCCATGAAAAACTAGGACATTTTAGGCAGAATTACCTGTGTATGTGAGTGTCAGCTGCCGACAAAACTATCCAAGAAATGTCTTTCTGTTACAAAAATCAGTAAGTGAAGATACATTCTCATTTTTGGAAGTGGCTATAGCAAACCTAGCCATGACATTTGAGGCATGGTACGTGGCCTGCAGGTATTCACCCCAGGGTCACATGCCCAGGGGCAGCGGCTGGCAGGAAGCTGTGCGTCCCAACAAAACCACATCCCACAGCTGCAAGGAAGATGGCTGGGAGGCCAAGTTCCAAAAGCACCCAGATCTAAAAGCCAGACTTGAAACTCCCCAGTCTGTAATTTTGCAATCAGCCAGGGCTTGGGCGCCCAGCCTCCCAACTCTGCAAGCAAGCGGAAGGGACTGAACAAGGCAGGACAGCAACAGCCATGGGGTCAGAGCAGAACAGGCCTCTGGCCTTGATTCCTGAGCCCTCACCCAGGATACACTGGAGGAGCCCTGAGTTTTCTATCCTCCCAAACGAGGAGGTGGGAGGGAACTTTGAGGTCCATCAGCAGACTTTGCTGATCCGCACATGTGCAGGAATCACTGCTTACCTTCTCCCCAGGTCTGGGTGCCTGCTGCAACTTCTCATAATCTTTCTTGGTCTCCAGAATTTTTTTCACAAGTCCTCCTGTTGAGAATCAGTGGTTTTACGTTATTCTCTAAGGAGCTATTCTATTCTAAATGGGTAGAGGAGTATTCTTCCTCTTTCTACACCGAACACAGCTTCAAATAATCTATTTGATCAAAGGGTCTACAATAGACTGATATAGCTGGTGGTGGAAATTAACTATAAAACTTTAGAGTGTTTCAAAGAAATCAGCTTCTCAAAGGTAAAAAAAAAAAAACCCTTGGAAATAGAAAACAATTATGAGGAAATGTAGATTAACATTCTAAAAGATAACCATCTATCACAAACAGGTGTGACAATTCTGAGCTGTTTCTAAGCACAAATACTCCTTTTATACTAGGGTAAGAGTCTTCAACTTCCTTTAAAAAAAAAAGAAAAAAAGAATTGCCTGTGGGGTATCACACAAAGCATTTTCTTTAGACTACTGTCTCATCCAAATGCGCATCCACACAAAACTGGCCGCATCGGCCCCACAGTACCTGGACGGAGGAGGGCGCGGCTGTGAGCAGCAGTGAAGACTCGTCCGCCGCTACGGGACGGGCGTCAGTACACGCTGCCCAGTCGCAAAAGCACGAGGGAGACATGGAAGTACACACACACGCACCACGCACACCACACACACATATTAACTTGTAAGTGTTTAAATCAAAGTATAAGCCATATTTCTTACTGTTACCTACAGGGGGAGGGAGGAGGGAGGGGACACAGGGCGGAGGCGCCTAATCTCAGAATATATCTTGTTTGGTACATTTGACCTCGAAAATGTGTCCATTTTACATAAATAAAACAAAATGAAATTAGATTTTTCAGTGCCTAAAAACTGAAACCAAAATGAAACTAATAAACTTAACAACATCAAACTGGCAAGCATAGCCTAACAAAGGACTGTTCTGTAACTTTACAAGAGAGTAACTGGTTATCCATCCCTGAGAACAGACAGACCCCGAGAAAAACCCTACAGCGTCTCCAGGAATCTGTTGTCACAAATAGCCGGTGGTGTTCTAGAGGTGCTGTGCGTGTGTGCCAGCCACAGGGTGAAGCAAACAGACAGCTGACGCTAGGAGCCAGGATTTTTGGCATGAGATAGACATGCGTGTATAAAATAAAAAATTTAGGAAAGACTCTAGAATAGTAAAGCTGCACTGGAAATACCAGCATGAGCTTGGATACGTGTCCTCATTAAAAAAAAAAAAAAAAGAAAGAAAGAAAAAAGGTAAGAAAACCCCTAGAAACAACGACCAACCCAGAAGCAACATGCAGCAAGGCCCCTTGGAGAAATGGAGGGTTCCAGCCTTGGAGCAGGAAATACACAAAATGAGCCTGAAACATCTGGTCCTCTCAGAAAACAAGGAAGCTGCAGTCTCCCAGGATGTGTCAAAAGGCCCCGGAGTACTGTTCCAACAGGCTCCCACTGATTACATACCAGACAATCTGAACATCGCTGAGAAGAACTGATCTGACGTGAAATGAGACCCATCAAATGCGTTAGAGGAAAACTCATGATTTCATACAGATATCGTATAGATATCAGCAACCACCACCCCACACGCCCTCTTTAGTCAGCGCTGATGGTACCAGGACACAGACTCACTCTGAGGAAAACCCTCCTCCTAGGGGCTGCGCCACAGCACAATCAGAGGCTGGGGGTGGGGGAGCTCTGCACCACGGCGTCATCCAGCCAAACCTCGAGGAAGGCAGGGTGGGATGAGAATGTCGCCATCCTGCAGCCCTTAATGATCCAGGCTAACGCCCCAAGCAGACGTCAGGAAGAGCCGACACCACCTACTAGCATTCCTGCCCAAAACCTGCCCAAAACCTGCGTCTGATCAAGTCTCTGGAACCAAGTTACAAGAATAGAAAAATATGTAAAAAACCATACCACGGGCATGTAATAAGCAACACTCCACTACGGGAAACTCTAAAGGACAACCAACCAGCTTCTTCTGCAAATACATTATAAGGGAAAGGGGAGGGATGGCCGCACAGGTTAAGAGAGACCTAAGAGATCAACTGACTCCAAAGCAGGGACCTTATTTGGATTCTGAATCAAACTAGAAAAAAATATACAAAGTAACTGGAAAAACTGATGATATCAAGAAATTGTTTTGTTTTTGTTTTTTAATATACAACAACAGAATTGTGGTTATGTTTTTTTGAAAGAGAGCCCTTATCTTCTGGAGCTATACCAGACACGTTAAGCGAAGAAACGATCTTCTCTAGGACTTGAGAAGAGTCTAAGGGAACAGGGGTCTGCAGCAGGCAGAGGCTTAGAGAAAACGTGAGCCGATCACCATTGACACCGGGTGACGAGGGGTCGTTGGACTCTCTCTGCTCCTGCAGATGTTTGAAATCAAAGAAGATACTTGGCAAGAGGACAAATGTTGTCGATTCGGGAACGACCCCAGAGGTCGAACCTCTAATCTAACCGCACACCACGTCAGAAGCTGCTGACAGCAAGCCCCAGGGTCCCGGGGCCCAGTGTCCATGGTCTCCCAGACTAAACCCACCAAGCGAGGAGGAGCCCACGCGAGCGCCGGTGTCCTGCCGATGCTCTTCAGACCCCTGAGCAACACGGGGTGCCCCCTCCCACAGTCGCGCCCGCCACGCCCCGTACTCACCGTGTTTCTCCTCGGCCTCCACATCTACTACGGGGACCTGGGCAGGAAAGCAAGGAGGAAAAAGCTGATTCTCGAAATGCTGCTTCCATGGATCTCCTCAAAGCAATGACAAAATTAAAGAAGGCAGAAATCTGACTGAAAAATCAGAGGAACGTTTTGTCTATGTGCACCTAAATGCTGGAGTAGGAGTTCCAGGGCCGTCCAAGGGCAATGACAGAAACCGAAGCTCCTGTTAGCTCACCATTTCCAGTTCTGACATCTCAGGAAGCTGGGGGGCAGCCTCCACCACAAACTGGTCATCTGCCTCATTGTCAGAGTTCTGTGCATCTACAATCACACTGGCAACGAGTTTGCCACTCCCTGTCCTACGAAGAAAAAGAAATTAGGTTACAGGAGAAGGGCTGCTGGTTGCAAGTCTGCATCAATCCCCTGCATCCCAGGCTCCATGGGAGTTTAACCACCACCTACCTCTAGAACGTCACAAAATACAGGCGGAAGCTGAGTGAAGACCCAGGCCTGGCCCCTGGCCCTGGCGGCCTCTCTCCACCGCACCGAGCCCCCACCCTACACCCCGACCTCACAAGGGCCCTCGGAGCCTTGCTCTTCCTCTGGCTGCACTCTCTGGACACCAGCCCTCCACCTGCAGCCCCTCACCTGGAGGGCCCTATTCTTCCACACGGCTAAAATCAGGGCAGGGGTGGCAATGTGGCCCCAGACCCCTGCTCCAACACAGCGGCCTCCTCCCGGCTGCCAATCCCTGCCCAGCACCTCCTCGCCACCAAGTCCTACCATCGCTCTGCACCAGTCCCACACCCAACTGCCCGGCCCTGTCCTCCCAGGTGACTACCTCCATCCAAAGGGACCTCCTGTGGACACCCGCTGGAACTGTGCCCCACCTACTGTCACCCCACTGTAGACCACTGTCAACTGCCCTCTGCTTATCAGGGCTTTACGCCCATCACACTGTGCCTGGGTCACAAGGCTCCAGACCCGAACACCCACCAGCTCCCCCTCAGCCCCACCTGCCCTCACTTCTTTCCTACCAGCTTAGCATAACCATGCTTTACCAAGTGCCCTTAACTCTCCTGCCCTACGATCGCTCTAGCACACAGGCCACATGTGCACATACACACACACACACACACACACACACCCTCTCCCTTGCTTCAGGACAACACACAAGGTCAGGAGGAAAACTGTGCACTTGGGTATGAGCTCTCAAAACAGTGCACATTTCTCCCAAACACCCCCAGCTCCTCTGCCGGGCCCTTCAACCCTCACGAGCAATGTCCTGCCTCCGCCAGGGCCAGCCTCACCGCACCCCATATCTCTCCCAAGCCCTGTACCCCTCGAGCCCCTCCCACCACCATCCCTCATCAGCAAGCCCTCTCCATTCTCCCCTGCCTCAAGCAGCCACCCTCCCGTGGCCAGGCCCAGAGGGAGGGCCAGCATTCTCCTTGTGCTTACTGTGTCTTCCAGATTATTCTAACGTCTGCCAACTCTGAAGCCACACCACCGGTCTCTCTGGCCCTCAACCCCATTGTTACTGCCACCCCCTGCCAGCCACCAGGCATCCCCCTGCACTCCTGGCTGCCAACACTGCCCCCGTCCTAACTGAGAAGCGGGCCTTCCCAGTGCCTGGCTCTGGGATCCCCAAGCCCTCCTGCCACCATCCTACTTCCATCACAGCCACACACCCAGGGTCACCCTTGGACACTGCCACTGGCAGCAAGCCCTAATCTCAAATCCGAGCACCCCACTCTTGGACCACCACCGCCCTCATTTCCATCTCTGTGCCTGCCCAGTGCCTGCACCCAGCAGCTGCCCACAGCTGGAGAACAAAGTCCACAGCAACACTGACTCCTGTCACTTCACACCACGTGCACCCGGAGGCAGCCCAGCACCCTGCTTCCACACGCCACACCACAGACCTCTGGGCCTGCGGTCCTCTCGGTGGGGCTGCCTGTCCACTGGGGATGTCTGGCAGCATCCCTGCCCCACTCCCCACAGCTAGATGCCAAGAAACTTCCCTCTAGGCCCTCCCGGTCCTGACGCTCTAAGGGGTCTCCAGACACAGCCCCACAGGAGGCTGGGGGCGGGGGGGTGGGACACGGACCCAGAAGAGGGACCCTCTGCTCCAGCCCAGGCGGATGCCCGCTCTCTGGGAGCACAGCTCCGGGCCTCCCCGGCCACACTCACTCTGGGCTCACGAGTGGGGCACCAGAGGGCACTCAGCTTCCGGAACTCACCCACACGCCCAGTCTCCACCATCTCCAAAAGCAGTCCCTCTGCGTCCCCTCACCACTCGGGGACACTGTTCCAACGACCCTCCCACCCTGCGGCCCCTACAGCACCAATCCCCCGTCTCCACTGGATCGGTCCCGTCACCAGAGACATGCACCAGTCTTCTCATCTCAAAAACAGGCACGAGTCACGTTCCCGACACCATCCCTCCCGCCACCGACTGTGTCATTCCTTCACGTCCCTGGCAACGCAGCCACAGCTGTCTCCAACTCCTGTCTCTGCTCTATCGCCAACCACTCTGGTCCAGCCCGCTTTATGTTCCTATTTTTCGGTTTTGATTTTCTGTACTTTCCTCTAAAGATCACGCTATATCCACAGGGATATCTGTAACACTTAGGAGAACCCTGTCTGTGGCTTGCTTTTATATTGTTTATGACTTTCTGACCTTTTGTTTTACATTTTTGTACAATTAAACCTTGAAATCCTGTTTTCCTAATTTTCCCTCGTTGCTCTTATGCTCAGAAAATCCTCCCCCACCTTCTCTCCAAGAATAATCTCCCCACGGGCTGTAAAGCCGGTCTTCTCTTCAGCTAACTGAAGTGTGCGGTCGGTGTGGGGCCTGAGGTCAGGGCCTGACCCAGCTTTCCTCCCCCTCTCCGCTGGCGGCAGCCCC